ACATCTTAAATGATCGTGCCCCAGGTTATATGAAAAACCACATTGATATGGTCTATAACCAGCACAGTTACAACACCAGAGCTAGTGTTATGTCTTGTAAAATCCCAAGAGAAAACAGTACTGCGGGGAGCATGTTTTTCTATACAGGCATTTGTCTATGGAATAGCCTCCCCTTGGAGATCAAGCAAAGAAAAAGTAGAAATAGCTTTAAAAAGTAGGCAAAGGTTTTCATTTGGACAAGATTGTCTAAGAAAGAGAAACCACTATAGTGCCCCTTGTGCCCCCTACTGCTGCTGCATTGAATAGATAGTTTTTTAAGGTCGAAATGTGAAATTAATATGGTTGATTTTCAAGGTTAGGGAAAAGTGCAGTGAATAGTGCCACTTTCTAGGATGTCAATATCAATGAATGTATTTATGGTTGTTTGTAATTTTGTCTTTCCTTTTAATCATTATATGTGTTATTGTTTTTACCATCGAGGACCACTTTGGAAACAAACGTTTTAATTAATACTTTTAAGTGATATCCTCTGGGTCCACATTGTACATTTTGTTGTATATGTCTGTTACCCGAAATAAATTCAATTCAATTCAATAATGTTACGTGGAATTACACATCCTTTTACCTCAGATTGGTGAGTTTATAGTCATCACGATGACATAAGATTGATTGCTTAAAACAGATCAATATCTTTGTACCATTGACTTTGTCACATGCTCTGGGATGCGCAGGGGGACCTGTCATGTGCCGTATGCAGTGGCCTTAACCGCTAGACCATCTCCAGGGACCCATTTATGAACTGTGAGTGGTTATATTTCTGCAGCACCATCCCTCAGTTGTTTACCAAAACAAGTGGCAGGGTGCCAGTTTAGTGGTTTTTCTAATCCCAGACTGCAGCTTTAACATAATGGAAAATAAAACAAAACTAATTTCCTTGTTACCTTTATTCATTGTATTAGATACTTTGTGTTTTACAGTAGTTTTACACATCTAGATTATATGATTAATTGTCTGTATATATGTACACCTTAAATAAATCTTACATTAACACCAATAAAATTAAAACATTTACAGTGCAAAAATGTGTATTAGTGGTTGACTCATACCCTATAATCTGCAATCAATGTCAGTCTCACATGCTAAACCAATTGTTTTTGCATTTTATGCATTCAAGCTTGCACACAATACACCATGTAACTTTGGAAACAGTGCCTCTGCTCATACAATATTATTTGACAGGAGCTTTTCTGAATGCTTAATGCATACAGTACCTTTGACACCAGACATAAATGTCACTGAGGGAATCTGGAAAAGTGAGGCTGAATGAAAAGTACAAGTGCACTATGAAATGGCAGTTTCGCTAAGGTTGGGGAGCTGTGAACTCAAGAAATCGACCCCCACCTAGGAGAAAAAGGGTAAGAACAAGTGGTTTGGTGAGGTAAGACTAATGAGAGTGTGGGTGGGAGGGACTCAATGACAGAATATGCCTGACTCATTCATGTATTGTATTCTAGCCACACAAACACAGTTCTCCTTTTCTCTGGATCGTACTCCAGGATAAGGCAATGGGCACTGTATAGCGAAGATTTAAAAAAAGGTATGTGTGGAAAACATCTGTTATCTTATTATCTGAATGTGAATGAGGGGATGCTCACAATTTATGTCATAGCTTTCTAACTTGTGTTTTCATGTGTGTGCGTGCGTGCAGGGAAGAGGAAATGGTTCCTTGGGAGTGACAGCCCAATCTGCCCCTTGACTTTGGTGCCTACACTTTAAAGACAGGTAGTGGTAATAGACAAATACATATCAGGAGGCAATGTGGTATCTAAAGCCCTAATTTTTTATACCAGCAAAACAATGTATAAACATGGTGTACACACAGGGGAAGTATCCAACCAATCAATCATGATAATAGTGAATCATTGAAGTGTATGAGGGTGACTTCATATTTGATTGTAAAAAAAAAAAAAAACGATGATCATATGAGAACAAGCTTACTATATTAATATTCTGAAAGATAAAAGTTTTCCTACAACTGAAACATGAAATATATTTTTTTAACACAATACAAACCTGGACCAAGGAGTTTTGTTCTAGATTGGTTCAAGTGAGGAATCTTATAAAGGCATGTATTTTCTATTTACATGTATTTTCTATGTATTTTATAATTTTTGCGTTATGCATACAGTACATCATTCCATTTCATGTGCGCCGCCCATGGGTAACCAGCCCAAATTCTTCACATGCATTTTTCCTCATACATTCTTTACATTATTTAGTTATTCATATTTTACAGTAAATTCTTGCTAATATACTGAGAGAGAACTGAGGTAATGCAGGTGTGTCTGGCCAGTTTAGATCTCTAAAAGTGAGCCATGTGTAGACATTTAGGAGGATTTCAGGATAATTCATTTCTAAGTGTGTAGGTATAGAGGTCACGACAGACAAGTACAGCAGTCAATGCATGGAAATGCAATTCTCAATGACACATACCAGGGTTTGGGCCGATTCTGAATTTCTGATTTCCATTTGAATTTCATATAATTTTATTAAATTAAATTCCACTTCATTTATTTCATATTCAATTCCAATTCTGCTTCCTGTGGGGTGTGGCCAATATAATTTGGGAATTGAATTGGACTGCGTGGTCCAATGGTAACACTCCTAGCAGAAAGCACACGTGTACAACCCTGACGGTTGTGGATTTAATCCTCCCCTTAACCTTGCTGACTTCCCTCCTCCTTGCCTGTGTTCCCCATGTAATTATTCCCTATCTAAATAAAAATTGAGGAAATACTTATGGAGAGTGGAATTCCACTCTCCTTTAAAAAAAAATATGAATCAGAATTGACCCCAACCCTGACACATACAGTATACAGTATATTGCTGTTAGTTTTGTGATGTCCATGTTCCATGTAGTTTATGGGTGACTGTGAAATGACTGCATGAGATTTGCTAACTATATAGATAATTCTATAATTCTATAATAATAATAATAATAATTCAATAATATGTTTCAGTTTGCTGCAAAATACAGGTAATATAACCTGTTATTACTGTATACCTTTTTGTTAAACAAATGGTAATTTTTATGATGGCAGAGTATACAGACTTCCCACATGCAGACAAAAGCACCCTTCAATTGAAAATAAATTGCACAAGGTTGATAGACATTAACCATACATAGTTGTTGTAATTTTGTACATAGAAACCTAACACTCTTGCGTCAAAGAAATCTCGAAATGTTAAATATTTGAGAATTCATTATTTTTTGGGGAGCGATAATTCTGACAGGTATAACAAGAAAATTCAGCCTGATATTTTTTTATCATGCATTTTACTGCTCCTATAAACTTCTCTAGGAGCCTGAATATTCAAGTCTTAATTTCAAGAGTGTGCTAAACATTCACTAATCTAAGTAGACCATTGTATGACTATTTCAAACATCGAGTGCCAGTTATCTTATCTACTACTGTATTTTGACATTGACATATTGGTTATGAGTGTCCTATTTGAGTCTACACATGCTTTGCTTATTCAGAGTGAAGAATATTGTAAGCTAGTATATATTTTGAGAGGCTGCAGTTAAGGCCAATTCATTCAAGTGCAGATAAAAGAAAAATACCCTGTGGTTTCACTCAGAATGTTTACACTGTGTGTCAGAGTTGTTAAATGTTTGAAAATGGACAGAACCCCAATCTCTCACTCTTGCAGACAGTTGGCGTTATTCCAACTTAAGATCTGAAAAAATGATTCATACAAAAGTATCCATTTTGTTCGCTTATCTCAATTCTGAATCGTGTCTGTAGACTTTGGATATTGATGTGTAACCACATCTATCGTTACATTGCAGCTTAAACATTGAGTCAATCATGGTGCGTTTTTTCATTTGTTTGCAATTGATTGAATTGGGTTCCAAGTTAAACATTTCTAGTAGAGTTTACCTTACCAATTGGTGTGTGAAGCATGGCAAGCTCTGTACAATATGAACTCTTATGTCCAATGGTGGGTGGAGAAGTGGATAAGATCATAAGTAGGCCTATCAAGACCCAGGAAGAGGCAAGATCCAACACCTAGAGTACATGTTACTGCTACAGCACAACTGGGCTACTACTATTTTAGTAAATAGAGCTAGTGTGTCTATCCAAAAATAATACATTAATCTTCTGAAGAGACATGGTGAGCAATGACATCCGGAAGGGGAGAGGGAATGTTTGAACTTCAGTCTTTTGGACAGAGCAAAAGATAAATTAGCAAAAACCAGCTCTGCATACAAAACTGCTTGGACTGCTTCGTATTTTGATGCTCGGTCACCAAGTACACAAGAGAGGAGATATTCATGGCTCAAAAACATATTTTTGTCTTATGTGAATCCATGCATTGTGTGGAGCATCAACAACATCCCTTCTTCATCATCATCAAACTCACTATACAACAAACACTGGAGTGACAAGTCGAGTGAAGCCAGTTAAAGAGTGTCATCCAAAGTCTTATTCGAAAAGGTTTCTCACAATCAGTCCTGAAGCAGAGAACAATATTGTTGCACCTCTGGTGTTTTGTGCCAGGCTCAGCCACCGCAGCTTTGCCAGAAGTCTCTTGTTTACTTCCTGACCTCAAAGTCCACAGGAGGTCAGCCTCCTCAATCTACTGAGTAGTCCACTTATCTAGTAAAACAAGTGACATGCATAAGATGGCATAGTTGCTCCTCTACCTGGCTAATACACTCCACATCCCCAAAAAACTACATCCCCCAGCCATCTACAACCCCCCCCAAAAAAGTATAATCATATTTTGTATTATTACTATTATTATTACCATTATGATTATTATGATTATTATCTACTTCCGCTAAGGTCTAGCCGTCCAGTGAATCAGCCGAGCCATATCATGCGCCCTCATTCCGAAAGTTTTTTTGAGTGCATTTCCTCCATCCCATCCCCATGCTTGTATTTTGTAGAAGGAGTGAACATTTTGTGGCAGGAGTGGAGGGAGAGGAGGTCTCAGATGGATATAGGGCAGGCGATGATCTTGTCTTCCAGCATAACGCTGACCACCAGGAAAACTAAGTAGAGCACGAACATGATGAAGCCCAGCAGCTTGCTCATCCGCCACTTGCAGGCAGCAATCGAGATGATGACGAAGATGAGCATGAGGAAGAGCAGCACAATGGCACAGAACAGCCCGTTAGAGCTCACCGCCACAGGCTGCATGTTGTTGATGATGGACCAGAGGAGCCATGGGAACGGCAGGCTGAAATACACAAAATAAACAGACACACACATACACACACATAGATGTTACATGGTCTTCAGCCATACTTTAAAGTTTATCTTTCAGCATCGCATAAATATGTGTTATAAATCAAGATAATAGCTATCATTCAGTTTAGACCTGAGAATGGGCCCGTCTGGGGTTTACATAATGAGATTGTAATGAATAAAGTCCCTTGGCAAAATGTCCACAGTGGGGACTTCCATGTCACCACCCCATGGGCAAAACTTATTCAATCGAATGAATTAGAGAACACAAACAAAGTTCAATTAACTTTTACATCTTATTATAAAGTATCTGGTGTCTACCAAGCATTTATCATGAAGTTGGTATAAATTGTTATCAAAATGGTACCTAAGTGTGGTTTTAATTAATCCCAATGAAACTGAAAGCTACTTATTGGATAAGAACAAAGTAAGTATGACTGTTACTATGTAATATGTAAAAACATCCCCCAGCACTGCAAAAATGCTAATAAGAATAATCTAATAATAAACAATGTTCAAAATGTGAAAGGAACAGATATTAAAAGAAATTATTACTGTAAAACTCAAAGCTGCAAAAAGTAACTTTTTGGGCAACACAACCAAATTCACATAGAGATAGATCTGTCATTCTCATTGAAAGCAAGTCTAAGAAGCGGTAGATCTGTTTTATGTGCTCTATTTCTATGCTTCCCGTGCTTAAGTTTAATTTTTGCGTCTTTTACTTTCGGTTTTGTACACCAGCTTCAAACAGCTGAAAATACAATATTTTTGGTTATGGAAAATATATTTCACAGAGGTTTAGATGGTACAATTATTCTCTACACTATACTTGCTTGTTTTGTCACATAAACTGAAATTAGGCGAACTCTTAGAATTTTTGCAACTTTAACTTAAAGGCAGAGTCTCAAATATCCGCCTGTACCTTTTTAATAGTCGGGCAAAAGCATATATTTCAGCAAATAAACAGCTGTTTCAAATAAACGCCAGGTCTAGATGAATTGTTTACAAGGTTACCATGAATTACCATGAATTGTTTACTAGGTTTAATGTTTGATTTGTTACATTAAATAATTCAGCCATTGGCTACTAACAGCTGAGAACATCTAGCTAAGTGGCAAGCACAAAAACAGTCAATAACTTACAGACCCCTAGACATGGTGAAAGTAAGAACTGCCGAAAGGAGAATAATTATTCTGTCAATTAATTATTATATATATTTTTTAAATAGAGGCATATTAAGACAAAAGAAACATGACACATTGTGTAAATGATAACACATTAGTGCAGGAAATGAAGAAATTGATTAAAATGCTGGAAGTAAATGCTGGAATTAAATAATTAACTATGCAAATGAGCAAAAGCTGTGTGCATTAAGGAAATAGGCGCCTGGCTCAAATAGAAGCCTGTCTCTAAAAAGTGCCTGTTGTGTTCAGTGATTTAAGCAAATAAACACTCTTGCTATTAATTGCAATTTTATGGTAATTAGAAATTAGAGTGGTTACAGTACTGATGACAAAAGCGTACCCAACAGTGATGTCAAAGATGTTGGAGCCCACAGAGCTAGACACAGCCATGTCCCCCAGCCCCTTCCGTGCAACAATGACGCTGGTGATTAGGTCAGGGATGGAGGTACCAGCTGCTAATATAGTCAAGCCCATAATCTCTTCTGTAATCCCAATGGTCTCTCCAACCTGCAAAGAGAAAACAGAAAAAAATGGGGTAAATAAATCAAACTAAATCTTTTATTTTTTTCCGTTTAGGGGGTTAAGTGGAGGTGAGGTTTAAGGAATTAAACAGTCAGCTATACTTTGACATATTTTGGGGTTTTCTTTTTTCCTATTCTGCTGAAATCCCTGTATTCAGGGACTACTATTTAATGTTGTCTAGCTTTGATTGAGAGGTGTAGTTACCCAGGCCAAAGAGCGGAAGGCTGCTAATAACAATCTCACAGTGTTCTAACCCTCTGAATATCCCTCTCCTTTTCTAACTACCTATACTTCCTCCCACTTGCTTGTGAACACGCTTGTGTTCTGTTCTGTGTTCTTCACAAAAGGAAACATGATTTCACTAAATGTATACTGGACAAAAATATTACAGTTCATATAAGGAAATCAGTCAATTGATATAAATTCATTAGGCCCTAATCATTAGGCCCTAATCTATCACATGACTGGGCAGGGGTGCAGCCATGGGTGGGCCTGGGAGGGCATAGGCCCACCCACTTGGGAGCCAGGCCCATCTACTGTGGAGCCAGGCCCAGCCAATCAGAATGAGTTTTTCCCCAACAAAAAGGCTTTCTTACAGACAGAAATACTGTCAGCTGTCTAGGTGGTTGGTCTCAGACGATCCCGCAGATAAAGAAGCCGGATGTGGAGGGTTGTCGTGGTTACATGTGGTCTGCGGTTTTTAATCTGGTTGGACGTACTGCCAAATTCTCTAAAATGACGTTGGAGGCGGCTTATGGTAGAGAAATGAACATTAAATGATCTGGCAACAGCTCTGGTGGACATCCCTGCAGTCAGCATGCCATTTGCACGCTCCCTCAACTTGAGACATCTGTGGCATTGTGTTGTGTGACAAAACTGCACATTTTAGAGTGGCCTTTTATTGTCCCCAGCACAAGGTGCACCTGTGTAATGATCATGCTGTTTAATCAGCTTCTTGATATGTCACACCTGTCAGGTGGATGGATTATCTTGGCAAAGCAGAAGTGCTCACTAACAGGGATGTAAACAAATTTGTGCACAACATTTGAGAGAAATACGCTTTTTGTGCGTATGGAAACATTTCTGGGATCTTTTATTTCAGGTCATGAAACATGGGACCAACACTTTACATGTTGTGTTGATATCTTTGTTCAGTATAGTACTGTTCCAATCTCGAATTTTTCAGCAACTATGGTGGATGCATAACCAGGCCAGCTCAGTACAGCTTGGTTTGGCTTGGCTCAGTAGTGTGAAAAACCCTTAATGGTTCAATTAATTTAGCCCCCAGTGCACCCCACATACCTGGTGAGCCCACCACACCATTAAGTAGGAGAATCCAGCAATCCAACAGATAGAACCCAGAAATGAGATGGGAAAGAACTTCTTTGCAGTCTGTTAGACAAAGGAGGAAAAGGCTATGGTTACTCTAAAGGCGTAAAGGACAAACGAAGCCTCTATATTATTGTGCTACAGGTATCTAAAGGAAATAACACATCACACTTATTATTGACCAGTTATAGCTAAATAAGTATAGACAGATTCACTTCATACCAAACATGAGTCTTTCTCTCTATGTCTGCGTCCCAAATGGCACCCTATTCCCTATAGTACTTTTGAACAGGGCCCATAGTGTGTAGAGCACTATATAGGGAATAGGGTGCCATTTGGGACACAGCCTATTTCTCTATCTGACAAACTGGAACAGTAAGAGATAGAAATGGAGGAGAAACACTTACTGGTTTCCTGACATCAGGCAGTGTCAGCCACAGAGGGAAGATGATGGGCATGATTAAGAGGTAGGTGAAACGCTTGCGCATGGTATCTGGCCAGGACAGGCTCAGAGGCTGGTCCTCATCCTCCTCATCCTCAGCCTAAGAAAAGAGAGCAAGTGTGGAAAAGAGAGGCTTTCAGTATCGATAAATTTTCCAAATTCAATAAAGCACTCGTACATCGGAGTTATCTCGTTGCAGGTGCGTCGGAATAATGCGATAACTTCAAAGAAAAGAGAAACCTGCAGTATTGATACAGTTAAATGTGAAATTGGTTTGGAGAAATTGGGAGATCTGTGCTCAAAATGGCCTGAATTTCAAGGGGTCATGTGGTACAGTCAAGGTCAGCCATCTTAAAGCTCTACAATACATACTGTACAGTACAACAAAATGTCCAAGGGTCCAAATGGGTCCTAATGGGTCCAAATGTCAGGCACATCCATAGGCACCTGGACTGATAGGCCTTGTGAAAGGAAACAAAGGCTCTTGTGATTTTTTTTTCATTAGTACTTGACCGGTATTTAATAAACAATCCCTCTTCCTAGCTGCTGAGACAAGAAGGCCAAGTGCACACAAGCTAAATAATAATGACAAGTTGGTTGGCATGCCCTCACTCTCTGTGACCTTGAGAAAGGGGTGTTTGATGACAGTGGTTTGTAAGATTGCTCCAAACCTGGACGAGCCTGACACTCTACTCATCAGGTGCTCATACATATTAAATTATTGCATCTGAGCTCCTAGTGTGCGGCTCTCCTTTTCTTTATTGAGTAAATATAACTTTATTTGTGCTCTGCTAATCTAAAGGTATTGAGTTGTTGCAAGTTATTATTTTTTAAATATTTTAAAGTCAATCTAACATTTATGAAATAAGTTGCTCTTACTTGATTCTATTATTACATTTACATTATTTAGCAGACGCTCTTATCCAGAGCGACTGCTAAATGGCGTTTGCAACCCTGGCGTTGCAAACGCCATGCTCTACATCCCTGCCGGCCATTCCCTCCCCTACCCTGGACGACGCTGGGCCAATTGTGCACCGCCCCATGGGTCTCCCGGTCGCGGCCGGCTACGACAGAGCCTGGATTCGAACCAGGATCTCTAGTGGCACAGCTAGCACTGCGATGCAGTGCCTTAGACCACTGCGCCACTCGGGAGACTTATTATGTCTTTACTTAAAATAATAAAGTAGTAGTCAGACATATTTATATTTGAGTAAAAAAAACTTGATTTATCTGCGTTGTGCTGATATAGAATTATTATGTTTTTGCAAGTTATGAATATTTAATAGTGCTCAGTTGCTCAGTTTTTTAAAGGATTGTGGGTAATTATTTTTTTATTTTTTACTTTATGGTACAGTGCCTTGCAAAAGCATTCACCCCCCTAGGCGTTTTTGCTATTTTGTTGCATTACAACCTGTAATTTAAATGGATTTTTATTTGGATTTCATGTAATTGACATACACAAAATAGTCCAAATTGGTGAAGTGAAATGAAAAAAAATAACTTGTTTATTTATAAAAATTCTATAAAATAAATAACGGAAGAGTGGTGCGTGCATATGTATTCACCCCCTTTGCTATGAAGCTCCTAAATAAGATATGGTGCAACCAATTACCTTCAGAAGTCACATAATTAGTTAAATAAAGTCCACCTGTGTGCAATCTAAGTGTCACATGATCTCAGTATATCCAGTTGAAGTCGGAAGTTTACATACACCTTAGCCAAATACATTTAAACTCAGTTTTTCACAATTCCTGACATTTAATCCTAGTAAAGATTCCCTGTCTTAGGTCAGTTAGGATCACCACTTTATTATAAGAATGTGAAATGTCAGAATAATAGTGAATGACTTAATAGTGAAAGAATGACTTATTTCAGCTTTTATTTATTTCATCACATTCCCAGTGGGTCAGAAGTTTACATACACTCAATTATTATTTGGTCGCATTGCCTTTAAATTGTTTAACTTGGGTCAAACGTTTCGGGTAGCCTTCCATAAGCTTCTCACAATAAATTGGGTGAATTTTGGCCCATTCCTCCTGACAGAGCTGGTGTAACTGAGTCAGATTTGTAGGCCTCCTTGCTCACACACGCTTTTTCAGTTCTGCCCACAACTTTTCTATGGGATTGAGGTCAGGGCTTTGTGATGGCCACTCCAATACCTTGACTTTGTTGTCCTTAAGCCATTTTGCCACAACTTTGGAAGTATGCTTGGGGTCATTGTCCATTTGGAAGACCCATTTGCGACCAAGCTTTAACTTCCTGACTGATGTCTTGAGATGTTGCTTCAATATATCCACATAATTTTCCTTCCTCATGATGCCATCTATTTTGTGAAGTGCACCAGTCCCTCCTGCAGCAAAGCACCCCCACAGCATGATGATGCCACCCCCGTGCTTCACGGTTGGGATGGTGTTTTTCGGCTTGCAAGCGTCCCCCTTTTTCCTCCAAACATAACGATGGTCATTATGGCCAAACAGTTCTATTTTAGTTTGATCAGACCAGAGGACATTTCTCCAAAAAGTACGATCTTTGTCCCCATGTGCAGTTGCAAACCGTAGTCTATCTTTTTTATGGCGGTTTTGGAGCAATGGCTTCTTCCTTGCTGAGCGGCCTTTCAGGTTTTGTCGATATAGGACCATTTTTACTGTGGATATAGATACTTTTGTACCTGTTTCCTCCAGCATCTTCACAAGGTCCTTTGCTGTTGTTCTGGGATTGACAGAACGCGTCTCCTTCCTGAGCGGTATGACGGTTGCGTGGTCCCATGGTGTTTATACTTGCGTACTATTGTTTGTACAGATGGACGTGGTACCTTCAGGCGTTTGGAAATTGCTCCCAAGGATGAACCAGACTTGTGGAGGTCTACAATGTCTTTTCTGAGGTCTTGGCTGATTTCTTTTGATTTTCCCATGATGTCAAGCAAAGAGGCACTGAGTTTGAAGGTAGGCCTTGAAATACATCCACAGGTACACCTCCAATTGACTCAAATGATGTCAATTAGCCTACCAGAAGCTTCTAAAGCCATGACATCATTTTTTGGAATTTTCCAAGCTGTTTAACGGCACAGTCAACTTAGTGTATGTAAACTTCTGACCCACTGGAATTGTGATAAAGTGAAATAATCTGTCTGTAAACAATTGTTGGAAAAATTACTTGTGTCATGCACAAAGTAGATGTCCTAACCGACTTGCCAAAACTATAGTTTCTTAACAAGAAATTTGTGGAGTGGTTGAAAAACGAGTTTTAATGACTCCAACCTAAGTGTATGTAAACCTCCGACTTCAACTGTATACACCTGTTCTGAAAGGCCCCAGAGTCTGCAACACCACTATGCAAGGGGCACCACCAAGCAAGCAGCACCATGAAGACCAAGGAGCTCTCCAAACAGGTCAGGGACAAAGTTGTGGAGAAGTACAGATCAGAGTTGGGTTATAAAAAAATATCAGAAACTTTGAACATCCCACGGAGCACCATTAAATCCATTATAATTTTTAAAAAAGAATATGGCACCACAACAAACCTGCCAAGAGAGGGCCGCCCACCAAAACTCACGGACCAGGCAAGGAGGGCATTAATCAGAGAGGCAACAAAGAGACCAAAGATAAACCTGAAGGAGCTGCAAAAATCCACAGCGGAGATTGGAATATCCGTCCATAGGACCACTTAAACCGTACACTTCACAGAGCTGGGCATTACGGAAGAGTGGCCAGAAAAAAGCCAATGCTTAAAGAAAAAAATAAACAAACACGTTTGGTGTTCACCAAAAGGCATATGGAAGAAGGTACACTGGTCAGATGAGACTAAAATTGTCCAGCAGGACAATGACCCTAAGCTTACTGCTAAAGCAACACTCGAGTGGTTTAAGGGGAAACATTTAAATGTCTTGGAATGACCTAGTCAAAGCCCAGACCTCAATCCAATTGAGAATCTGTGGTATGACTTAAAGATTGCTGTACACCAGCGGAACCTATCCAACTTGAAGGAGCTGGAGCAGTTTTGCCTTGAAGAATGTGCAAAAATCCCAGTGGCTAGATGTGCCAAGCTTATAGAGACATACCAAGAGACTTGCAGCTGTAATTGCTGCAAAGGGTGGCTCTACAAAGTATTGACTTTGTTATGAACGCTCAAGTTTTCAGTTTTTTTGTCTAATTTCTTGTTTGTTTCACAATAAACAATATTTAGCATCTTCAAAGTGGTAGGCATGTTGTGTAAGTCAAATGATACAAACCCCCAAAAAATCAATTTTAATTCCAGGCTGTATGGCAACAAAATAGGAAAAATGCCAAGGGGGGTGAATACTTTCGCAAGCCACTGTACTATTACACAATGTTGTATGAATATTTAAAGAAAGAAAAGTATATTTCTAAAATAGTATTAAGCAGTTTGTTGTACTATGAGGTGTAAAGGATCATGATGAACGAATATCAAAACCAGTTTAAATTGACGTTCAATAATGAGACAACTCAGACAAGCCATTCCCACCATCAACAAGGTCCCTCCGCTCTTAATGACAAAGGCTATTGCAGCATCCTACAATGCTTACAGCTATACCTCCAATTATTGCTAGAGGAATGAGCATTGTGCTCAACAATGCTTGCAAAGGTGAGTTAAAATGACAAATCATAAAATCCATAAAACAATGTTAAACATTAAGACATGACCACTGAAAATTACCAATCAGAACTATTTCCTACATACACTTGAAAAAAAAAAAGGCCCAGTGCAGTCAAAAACTTGATTTTCATGTGTTTTATATATATATTTCCACACTAAGAGGTTGGAACAATACTATGAAATTGTGAAAATGATGATAATGCCCTTAAATTGTAAAAGCTGTTTGAAAAGAATGCCCAAAATGTCAGCCTGTTTTGGTAAATTAGTTAATAGACCAATAAGAAAGAGTCCCAAACCTCTCTGCCAATAACAGCTAGTTTTCTGTTTTCACCTCCCCACAGACGACTCCCAGACAGTCCTAGCAATATTCTTGCTTGAGAAATTGCTCTTTGCTAAGAAGCTATTTTAGTTAATTTTTTACCATTTCAATTTAAAACAATCACAGTAAGGTACTTACTTGTTACCCAGAAATGACTTGATATTGAG